TCTAAATGTACAGAATGTTAGCAACCTGCTAGCCAGGCACTTTCACAGGAAGGATGAAAAGCTGCTGTTGCAAGACTTCATTAATAAAAATATTCAGCACAACAGTTTACCCAGCTTATCAAATGTCTGTCTCACTTTGCTGAACAGCTTCCCCCTTCTCACCTTGGCAGCCCAAACCCTCACCATTGCCAGGAACTTCACCGTCTTTTTTGCTATTTTAACTCCCAGAAAATGTGGAGTTTCCAGGTAGTCCCACCTCGCAGCCCCCTAACTCAGCTCTGACTCCACTTGCCCTAATTGTTCTTTCTTGGAGAAGCAGTCTTGAAAAAAAAAAAAAATCCAAAACACCTCAAAGTGTACTTCGATACAACAGCAGCCACAACAAGCATTCTTTGGATATTCTGGCCTCACCCATTCAGCAGAGGTCTGGGATAAGGTCTTATGCAAGTCTGTGAATTTGCAAAACCATGGTGGGTCTACAACATTTTAAAACAAAGTGAAACACACAGACTTTAGGGTGGGTGGTTAGGAACAGAAAGATTGCCAAGCAAAATAGCCACCGGTTTGTTATAAAGTAAAAATTCCCTCTCAATTCTCAAAACTGGCAGACAAATGAGGCCCTAAACAAACTGTTGCATAAATCAACATTATTAGTATCCAACCGTGCCACCAGAAACACAGACAAGTTGCAATGCCAGAAGGGGGAGATTATAATTTAGGATTCTTCCCGTTTTAGCCACACCATAAAAAGAGGGTATAGAGATGAGGACAGAAAATATGCTGTGCACATTCAGTGGGGGAATCACTTCCACAAGGGAGGTGCCAGGGGCTCACAGCAACAGCCCAGAAAAAAAGCAGCTGTGACACTTCCAAATTCATTCAATTCATCCAGCAATGTACAAAAGTCCACCATCAGTTCTTTTGTGCCATCTGCTGATATTCAATCTATATACCACTGCTGAACGTAAGAGAGGCAATCTGGACCCTACACCCAGTAAGTCTGAGAAAGTGTTTTCCCCTTCAAATCTATGCAAATCACAAATGTTAATTCTAATGGCACAGACCAGCACGGCTGTGTACATGCATTTACACTGGAATTCAAAACAATGCCAGAGAGAATAAAAAGATCACCTGAACATTTGGACACGAGATAGTATTTTGTTAAAAGAAAGTACTGTTGCACAGAGACACAGAAAATGCTGATAAACGTTACAAACTCAGGCAAAGAAATAAATGAATGAAATGCAGCAATGTGAAGATGCAGTTTTCCAAAGAAAACAGCTGCTGCAAATTTTCAGCGTACAGTTTGGGAGAGGAATAACAAAAAAAAAAGGAAGAGCACATGCAGAAATAGCCAGTGGCGCAGCATTATGTGGCTACCTCTTGCTTGAACAGCATTCAATATGGCAGACTTGTCAAAGAAACCATGCTCTTCAGGATGTAAAGAGCCATGGCACAGCATCAGTAAGCAAGTAAGGCACTCCAAAGGATTTCCAGAGAAACTGTCCTTTAGAGCTTGTTTAGACCCTGTTCTCAAACACAATCCATTCACAAAAATGCAGGAAACAGAAAGAAGACCAACACAATCAGAATTAATGGACATGAAAGCTGAGTGGTTTGATAGGACATCTGAAACTCACAGATCTCACACTCCTCTTGCACATTCTGAGTCTTCTTGCCCATATGGATAATGCTTAATACTTCAAGTGTTACCGCCAGTTCTTATACAGGTCTCACATCTGTTTGGCAGTTAAAACAGGTGTCCAAGCTGGCAGCTAACATTATTTTCTGAGATTTTTTTGGGTCTGTTACATGGAAATGATTATAAATCACATGAATAGAAGCCTGAACATCATCAAACCCAGGGATAAAGGTTCCAAAGGGACACAAAGGCAAACAGTAGAAAAATCTGTAAACGCAAAATTTTCCCAAACCTCAAAAAACCAAAGCTTTAACTCACATATGGCAGGAGATAAAACCACACTCGCAGTATCACCATGGAAAAATACATTTACAGCAGCTAAATAATTATATTCTAAACACTGTTCTTTCAACAAGTATGACAACAAGCTGCTTTATCTGTAGGTTTTTTGAAACGGTTAACCATGACGCACAGCAGAGTATTTACAGAAGTCACTCCCTACTTACCACTATAGTGAATTTCGCACCCATTATCACAAGAAATTAAAGAAGATCAATCTTCCCAATGCAAAGATGCACACATACAAAAGGAAGGATGAGAAGCAAAGGTTTTCAAAAAAAATTTTTGGGTACCATGCAATACCAGTACATAAAATGTACATGTTTCTCACTCAGCCCCCTCCGCCCCCTCCACCCCCTCCACCCTGTTTAATCTGGTTTACTAAGGCAGGAAGGATAGATAATCCATCTAATTATTCATTGTTGTCTTCCCTGACCTAAAATCTGTGAATCTGGAGGCAAATTCCAACCAGATTTAACCAAAGAGTAGAAACCAATAGACTACTATGTCCTTACCATCGCAACTCCCTTAATTTTGCAAAATTAGAGATTTGCAAGAAGATCCTACAGTACTTCTGAATAGAGGAAAAGTTGCAGTGTGTGCTCTGGCTTTTTAGACTCTGAAGGATGAGCATCAGACAGAGCATTCTTACAACCCTCTACTTTAGGAAAAACTTCAGTTAGGATCTGAGTGTTGCTGCATGAGGAAGAACTCAACCAGAAGATATATATTCTTAAACAATCAGGTTTGATTATTTCTGGAGCTCCAGAAATCACTTGTTTCCATGCTCATAACTTTGAAGTGAAGAAGTTCACATAGATCAAAGGGAAGACTTTTTGCATGTTTCTCCATAAAACCTCTATGAACATCCTTGCTCTGATTTCACCTCTCAGATCAGAAAGACAAGAAATTTGCCAATGCAAAGGAAGAGCCAAATGAGAAAACAGGTGTTTTGTTGGATGCACAGAATTCTGAAATGGCATCTTTGGCATTTCAGCAGAGCAAAACACAATATTCTATCATGAAGCCACCACTTCTGCAAAGGTTATCACTATGACACCATTATTTTTGAGTAATGGACAAACAGAGATCACTCAGTCATTATCAGGAGATGTCAAGTGTACATATCTGTTATACAACACAGTATTTTTAAATAAGCCACACAAATTATTACATTTTTTTGCAGAGAAGCAGCACCTCTGTTCAAAACTATTCTGTTAGGCAGTAAATACCAGGAAGAGGGCCAACAAAGCATTCTTTACTTTGGAATACAGAGGCTAACTGTATCTGAAGACTGGTCTAGAGCACACAAGTAAAGCCACAGTAGATACATTCAGCATATACTGCACATGGAACAATATAGTATAACTTTATAAAGCCACAATGAAATTTTCCCATGAGTTAATGTCACAATGTGCAAAGACAGTATGCCTTCGAATATGAATGAGACCACAGAATCATTGAATGCTTTGGGTTGGAAGGGACCTTAAAGATCATCGAATTGCAATGCACAGAAGCCTCCCACTACACCAGTCTGCACAAATCCCCATCATTAGATGGTGTCAAACACCTCCAGTGATGGAGCATCCACAACTTCCTTAGGTATCCTGTTTCAGCATCTAAACCGCCCTCATAGTGAAGAACTTCTTCCTTACATCTAATCTAAATCTACATTCTTCTAGTTTGAACCTGTCACCCCTCATCCTATCACTACAAGCCCGTATTGGACATATCCAGTTGCTACTACAGGAATATAACTGGAATCGAGGAATTTCAGGACCTTTAAGAAGACAATAAAAACTATCACATCAGCCCTTTGAAGCACATCTATTTGCTCTCACATGTTGTGTGTGCAGCAGGGTGAAAAATCAAGTAATTAGAACACTGACCTACCAAAAGGACTATTTTATAATTGAAGTGCATAAATGGGACGTGGTTGAGAATAGTGCCTGTAAATAAACTATTGCAATCTTCCTAAAATAATGAGGTCCTAAACTGTTGAAACAGCAGGACTGCTTACATAAAATATTAATAATAAAGCAGTGAGACAGGCTCAGAATTGATAATGAAACCAAGAAGCAAATGTACAATTAAGCAAATTCCTTCACAGGAAATTTTCCACGTAGTTGAATCAGCTTTGGAGCACGCGTAAAAGCCACAAAGCAGGTAGGACATCAGTGACATTCCTTACTGGCCCCACTGAGCTCGTTTGGTTGTACTGTTTTCTGAGGACAGACCTAGGATGGGTGAGGAGGGTTCTGTAATCTCACCGCCACCACCCCCTGCTGCAACATTAGCTATGGGTAACACTGTGGAATAGGTGCCACAGCTCCACCTCCTGCCCTCTCGGCATCAAGGTGGGAGATAACAGTCCAGCAAAGGAGAGAGACACTGAGAGAGAGAAACCAAGTTATGTTTCAAATGCCTTCTCTATAGTTTCCAGAATACAAAATGTTCACTTGAAAATAGAAATATACTAGTCCCTGTTCAGTACAGGTAGAAAATTTTAGAAAAAGACAAAACCATTTACACCACAAAGGGTATTTATCAGAATTTCCTATTTGAAATGGTTATTTACAAAGTTTTTCGGCAGACTTCAAGTTAGACACATCTGCTCAGACACTGCAAACCAGTCGACGTTGAAGCCTTGCTGGAGTGAACTAACACCGTGCCATACTTTGCTGTATAGGGTTTGGAGACACCAAATAAGAAGCTGTATAAACTCTGAGCACTGCCTGTGTCCCAAAATAAATAATTAAAGGCTGTATTCTCACTCACATGCTTTAATGCTAGTAAACAAGAACAAAAAACCCAGTTAATGCTCAGGGCAAATAATTGGTAAAAAAGCAAAGCAGTGAAGAAATCTTACAGCAAGCATTAACAATTCCTTCTTCTATGTACGTGTCATATATATACCCACAATTTTATGAATTGTTGTGTACATATTACCGTTAAGAATTTAAACATTTAACATAAAAGCTGGAAGAAAGAGGAGTATAAATGCAGCACCAGTACTTACCCTTAAATCTCCATTTATAGCTCTGGAAGTGTGATTAAATGCATGTGCAGGATCTTTGTTGTAAACTTTAAGGAAAGACCGGTCTTGAATATTCCTGGAATCAAAAGAATCGGCAATGATAACAGATGAAAGCAGTTTTATTTACTTTGTTGCCCAAAAGTTTCAAGTAACAGACAAACATAGTAGGTCTGCAGCCTCCCTGTAAGAAAAACCTAAATGCCATAACTTAGGCACACACAAACAAACAAAAGCCTACTTTGATTCTCTTTCCCATGGGAAGTATCATTCTTTCGCTACAACTCCGCACCCACAAAAATTAGATAGTGTTAAATTTCTTTAAAGATCCTGCCACAGAGTGAAAACACTTTGAAGACAATAGAGCTTCAACATTTACACAGCACTCAAAAGGATTTAGTTAATATTTACATGCTTTATTGTGTACTCATCCCATGTGAACTTTTGCTATTCTAAGAAGCAAGAATATCAAAAGAAAAGCAGTTTTCCTAACTGCAATTATTCTCAAGGCAACTCTAATTATCAGTTTTTTCACAAGCCTGAAAAAAAAAATCTACAAGCTAAAAATTCAGTAGCAGATAAATCCTTCCTCTAAACTTTATCTATAATAAAGACAGGTTGGGTTGTTTGTTTGTTTGTTTGTTTGTTTTTAAAAAGAAATTACAAAAACAAATAAACAAGCAAAACTTTTAATGAAATCTACTACATAAATAAATGGTTTAAATTGAAAGCTCTAAGAGAATATTTTTGTTTAATTAGGACTCAACACTTTGTCATTGATTAGTTCATTTTTCAACTACTACATCTAAGGAAGAGTTAGATGAGAGTAGTTTTCTATATTGTTTCAAAACCTACCTTCCAATAATTTTATGACTTAGACACTGGGCACTGAGTTCTGCTGATTCCTTGTTCACATTTAGTCAGTAGCAAAGCCTCCAATCTACGCTCACTTACAGCCTTTCAAAACTGCGATTCCTTTCATTTCCCAGTAGGGAATTTACTTACACATGTGACTGAATTCCCTTCCTCCAGGTGCAGCTATAAGTCTAGTGAACTGATCTTAATCACTGGGATTATCATTTAAAAATGAAGGAAAGGATTTTTGGGCAGGTCCAATTTCTTTCTTACAATGTCATATTACAATCAGTGATTGCTTTGAATGGGTAGCTAGTCAGAACTTGTACTGCTGTTGTAGATGTCAAGTAGTTATTAAAGAAACCCCACAGCTTAAGAGACAGATCAGTGCCTCCTGTTTAAGAACTCTAAGGCTGATGAGAAGTTTAGTATTTATGAGTGTTTACTTGTAGACTGCATAGGAAAATAGCTACCTTGCAGCAAGTTCAAGTTCTTCAATTATTTATGGTAACATAAACTGTTTTCCATCTTGAAAATGTGACCCTGTTGCTTTGAGACTTGCAGTGGGAGTCTCAGTTACCATTTCATGCCTCAGACTTGGAAACACATTCTTTTGGATACAAAGCAAGGTCTCTCAATCTTCAGCTCAAGAAACGGTATATTACTTGTTTTAATAAATTTTATCTGCTGTCTTTTCTGTCTGATGGCTATAAGATGGTACCTCAACTAACTGGAGTTAGTTTTAAAAGCATTCTCCATCAATATTTCTTGTAGAAACATGACACTTTGAAGTAAAACATTGCTGCAAGGCAAAGCACCAAAATACTAGGCATTTGATCTCTGAAGTGAATTCTATTTCATCTCATGTTGCTATTCTAAGATAAACATTACTGATAACAGGTATATATTACTGTACTTTTATTATTACTGTTATTTGCATTACTGTAGCTCCCAGGTACCCTTGACGTGTTCAAAGGCCTCACTGATCTTTGTGTGCTGTGTAAACACCCCAGGAATACAACCTCTTCAGCAGCTTACAAGGTGAATAGAAGACACAAAAGACAACAGGATAGCTGCAGAAAGATAAGGGAGCAAAAAGAAATAAGAAGACTATAGTCCCCCCAGCCAGAGGAGCAATAAACAGACCCTGGAGCCACAGGCTTGCTCTGAGTAGGCAGTGTACAGAAAGAGTGGGAAGGAGACCAACACAGTGGCTTTTCAGATGTCTGCAGAGGATACTTTCCAAGCATGCTAGAGGGCTGCCCAGGAGAGAGTGTGAAGGCATTTGTTTGAAAATTGCAGACATGTAGAATAAAGTTGGCATTCACCAAGTGGAAGCGGATGGCACTTGGTACTGAACAAGAAGTGAAAAGTAGCGTTGCAGTGGGCTTACAGGAGCCCTCATAATGAAGACAGGTAGTTTATATTTAATGAGATGGAAAAGATACAGCCAGAGGACAAATGAAAAGCATGTGAAACAGTCTGCTTGTCAAACTAGGACAATGATCTTCGTTGCTTCATTTGATTGGGCAAGAGTGAACAAGATCACCTGTGTCAACTGCCAAGAAAAGACCGTTACAGCAAAAAAAAAAAAGCTGATGAATTAGCTGAGTGTAGTTTTTTTCTTACTACATGGTGGGAAAGGAAAGCCTGCATCATAGGGGTGCTACGCAGAAAAAAATCCAAAATCCACACTGGATGCATAGCCTTGAACCACTTTAAGAAAAGGACCAGGTTATAGACTTAAGTAGACAGATAGTATTTTGCCCCCAGTGATTAAAGAGGGAAAAAAAAAAAAAGGACAAGGATTGTCATGGCCTAATGCATGGCCTAATGAAGGAGAACATAAGCTAGGCTGAAACTAATGGTCCATGAGACTATGCTGGAGAAAAGTGCAGGTGAAGGAAAAAGAAGGAGGCCCAAGCCCTGAAAAAAGGTGACAGAAAATCAATGTTTGAGAAGAGGACCTCTCAAATGATACCTAAAAGGAGAGAAGAGAGACAGGAAGACATTAGGAAAGACCAGCCATTGAAACAAAGGGAGATAAAGGTTTCAAGAAGAAATGGCACTGTAGGGAACAAAAGTCAAGTTGGAATTAGAAGAATAAAGCCCCAGACAGGTTGGAAATGGGTCTAGGACAGAATCAGAAGAGTAAAACTCCAGACAACAGTTGCAGTGACAGCTCAGTGAAAGAAAGAAAGGTGATGGAGCGGGAAGTGGAGATGTACATTATTCTGGGACAGTTTTGCTAGGAGGCATAGAAACATATGTTTGCACACTAAGCGTAGGCACTTTTAAGAGAGTAGTAACTTAATAAAAAGACAAAGCAATGGATGTGAGGCACAGGGGAACATGAGACAGCCTCTGAAGGAGGCTGATGACTTGAAGAGTTGACTGAAACACTTGTGTTTAAGAAAAGGAAGAAAGAAGAGAGTTGAAGACACAGCAAGCAAAGTAGAGAAAAATGATATTTCATTTCATCCGTCCTCTGAGAGGAGACACTGGCAAGATCTTGTGAAGTGTAAGGAAACAAAATGGAGAAATTGTTGTGGAAATTATTCAAAGATGGTGAAAATGCAGCTGGTAGTGCATGCTTTGGATGCCATTAAGCTGGAATTGCTGAGCTTTCCTTAGTGAGAAGTGTGGCAGAACTGAAGGAGGGAATTTTGTTATGAAGGAAGTCAGCTGGGTCGTAAGACTTCCTCTAGAAATGCTCTACAATTCAGGCATAGGAACAGAGGAAGCAGATGCTGGGATTGAGCCAGGCCTGAGGTTGGCACAGTGACGCCTGCAATGGGAGCAAGGGAAAAAAAGGTGGAGTCGTATTAAGATAATCAACAACCACATTCTTGGGGGGCAGGGAGGAGATGAAGTCATAAACTCTGAGTCTGAAACTCAAGGGAAGATGGAGGGATAAGCCAGAAAGAAGAAGCCCATGGGTAAGATGACGGTTGACAAAAATGCACTTGGCAACAGAGATGTAGTAACCCCTATCTTGATTTATCAGTTGATTCGATCTTGTGAACAGGCTGTTTGATGTGTAAAAAACTTGAGTACATTATGAATGATGATGACGCAAAAAATCAGATGGGCCCCGAACAGGGGTGTGGGAGCCTGCAAAGCAAGGAAGATTAAAAACCAGAAACTGAAATCCAAGAGGCTGGCTAATGACAAGACTCTGGATAGACAGCCTGAGGAGGGCAAGACAGAGGTTACAAAATGGAATGCAGTGCTGTTCAAAGACTAAAAATGGGGAAATTGGAAGTGGCAAGGCTAGAAAATTTCCAACTTGCTCTTTTAACTACAACACAAGACAGAGAAGCACCTGAGCCACAGGATCTCCAGAAGAAACAAGACAGCAGTGGACAGTACATTTCTCTTACTTACACATCATTTTCCTACACTAGTGGGAGACTGGCAGAGAAGGAACACCTTTTCTGCTTCCTGCTTCTTCTGCCCCTCTGTTCGTTCATTTTATCACATAAGTTCTTAAGAAAACCATGGTACAAAGGCCCACAGTACTTCCTTGCACACTTTTATGGATTGTGCCTGAGAGCTTTGTTGCTGCATGATTTGGGACTTTCTACGGACCCTGAGAACCTGGTCCTTAGGCTCAAAGAGCACAGATATGAGGATGGAAGGAACATAGTTAATTAAGCAGCTGTACTCCCACAAAATAAAGGATAGAAAGCTGAGCCAAAATCCAAAAAAATAAAGGATAGAAAGGTCAGATAATTTATTGATCAAATTTGAATTAGTGAGAGGAAGTGACTGCATTAGTTGCTGCATCCTGACATAAAACAGGAAGGTGGTGGGGCTGCTGCAGAACACCAGTGTTCTGCACCAGTGTTAGATGAGGCATAACTGGTGGTGTTGTAAGGACATTGGTGACATTTGTTTTGCAACTTCAGGCACACATGCATCAGGCTTTGTGCTACCAGAGAAAAACAAAACAAAACAAAACAAAAAACCCACCACCACCAACCAACACAGTTTTTCTGCAAATGTTTGTGTTCTGCATTTTAAATATTTATGTCTGTTAAAATTTGATAAAGTATTAAATATTTGAGCTTGCACATATTATATGAATATTTGAACAAGGTACACCATTTATCAATGGCTTGTGCAATACATATTGCACCTACAGCTCCAGGCAGTGTCAGACCGCACCTCCCATATTACTCAGATACCACTGAACAGGCCTTTATGTGTCAGGCCACTGTCAGATTCTTATCAACACCACTCCTTTTAATCTGGAAGTGCATTACAAAAAACCCCACTCAAACTAAACCAGTTGTGATCCCATGTTTACTTACCTCACATCACACAATTCATAGTATATGTTTCTGCTCTCATCCTTGATGTAAATGGCCACACTGGGTGATTCCAGCATTTTCATCGTCAGCTGCTGAGGGAAGGCACTTACAAAAAGGGCACGAATTGTGTCTGTGCTTGTGATTTCATTCGGCATCCTCAGCTGCTTTGTTTCATCTCCGTACTGAAGATATAAAACACCTACAAGCAGAATACAACAGTAAATTACGTATTCTTAAGCACACAGTAATGACCTGGGTTTCAATGACAATTAACAGACAATGAGAAGAGAAAAATTAACTCACTCCTTACTCATAAAGCACATACAACACTTTCCATTTCAGCACACTATTGGAATAGATCATGGAATGATGATACAGTTGTGCCTCGATAGATATGCTTGCCCCAGCACTGCACTTTGCTGAGGAGCCTTTTGCTGCTCTTCAGTTAGATACATCAGAAGTTTACCTTAAGAAGGCTAGTGGAAAATCCCAAACACACCAAGTCCACTCTTGTGGTGGAAGGTCCTGGTAAATCACAAGGTACTTTTCTTAAAGCAGTTGAAGATGAACTTTATCCTTTTATAGCACCAAGTTCACCTTAAATGTAAATTTTGTATTTTAGCCTCACACTTACCCAAAAAAACCTCCCAAAACCAGATTTCTATTTTAGTACTAGGAATTTTAAATTCACAATTCAATTTGCTAAGCATTATATAGTATAAAGGCCCAGGTGAAACTCCTAGCAGGAGTCAAACTGAGGTCTCACACAAACACAAGAGTAATTTGGGATGCTTTTAGTTTCACAGCACTGTTAATAGTCACCCTTAGCATGCAGGGAGAAACATGAGTAATCTTAGATGCTGAATTGCAAAATATGGACATTCTTATTCACTCAAGACAAAAAAAACCACCATTCTGATACAGCTAACTCTCTGCTATCAGGGAATAAGAGGCTATGAGATGCTCAGTAATGAAAAAAACATGGATAATACAGACAGGGACTCAGTGAAGGGATACTAAGTACCTGTTCCACAATGCTGGTGTTGTGCTTGCCAAGGCTACGCTGATTTCCACATAACCAGTGGGTGTCCGTAGGCCACTGGCCAGTGTTGCACTGCCAGTGTGACTCATCAGCTTTGCCACAGCCCAGTCCCATGCCACCCCACACTACGAGCCCTCCAAGGACCAAAGTCCTGAGAAGAGCCATCTCAACTAACAGCAGAAATCAGATTGGATTTGATGGAGTTATTAGCTCAGACCACGCCAGGCTTGGTTCCTACAGACCACCAAAAGTCTGCTCATGAGCATTTCCAGTCTGGGACCTGCACAGGAGGAAACAGACCACCACAGGACTGCAACCAAAGAAACTTCCTGGGACCCACAGCACTAGTGAATAGATGCAGAGACAAATGCTTGTCCAAACTACTTTGGATACAGAGGAAATGAGAACTGATAAGCCCAGCTAAGCACACATATCCAATCCATACTCAAGGCACAGATGTCCTGCCCGAGCATGGATTACTGAAAGCATGCTGTGTTCTTTCTGAGCCACCTCAGTTGTCTCTCTAGAACACTGCATTGTGACAGGAAGAAACTCCTTTACTTTCTTACTATCTGTAAGAGATGGAGCAGGTATAGATTCTGCAGTGTTGTAAAAAGACAATAAAATAGCAGATCACAGAATGACTGAGGCTGGAAGGCATCTCTGGAGGTCATCTGGCCCAACAGCACCTCCATCCCCCCAAGGCAGGGACATCTACAGCCACTCTCCCGAGACCATGTCCACGCAGCTTCTGAGTATCTCCAGTGAGGAAGACTCCACAAACTCTGTGGGAAACCTGACAGTGCTTGGTCACTTTCACAGTAAAGAAGTGTTTCCTGGCGTTCAGAGGGAACCTCACACATTTCAGTGCGCATTGTCTCTGGTCCTCTCACTGGGCATCACTGCAAAGAGCCTGGCTCTGTCCTCCTTGTACTCTCTCTTCAGGTACTTTCACACATTGATGAGATCCCTCCCCTTGAGCCTTCTCTTCTCTAGGCTGAATTGTCCCAGCTCTCTCAGCCTTTCCTCTTAGCAGAGATGCTCCAACCAAGTTAATAATCTTTGTGGTCCTTCACTGGACTTTCTTCAGTATGTCCATGTCTTTCTTACATCAAGGAGCCTAGAACTGGACACAGCACTCCAGGTGTGGCCTGACCAGTGCTGAGTAGAGAGGAAGAATCACCTCCTTTGACCTGCTGGCAATACTTCATCTAACACAGCTCAGGATACCACTGGCCTTCTTTGCCACAAGATGAGCCAGTGCATTTCTGGCTCATTTTCAGCTTGGTGTACATCAAAATCCCCACACTATTTTCTGCCAAGCTTGCTTTCCAGCTCATTGGCTCCCAAGATATATTGGTGTATCCACTTTGCAAACATTTAGCAGCCCAGAATGAGCTAGAGGAGAAAAAAAATGTAGAAAAGACAATAAAAACACCACTGAATTTTGCATTTCTGCCAGCTGTCTGAAAGGCACTGCCACAGCTAAATGCTTTGTAAATGGCTCAAAAGCTATCTGGCCATTAGAAAGTATTTTGAACAAAGTATAAAATATGCTCAAGAATTAGGGATTACAGAAACATCTACACTGAATTCACTGCAGGTCATGTAGGTATACAATCAAGGCAGTTTTACACTGCCCAGTTTGGAAGTTGCTAGTGACACAATGGTAGAAGGACAGGATTCAGGCTGAACTATCTGCTAAAGTCATAACTACATTTTCAGGCAGACTCTGGGGACCGAGCAGATTCTGTGCTGCCATGCCTTTGCATCTACCAGTTGCCACCAGAGGAAGACCAAAAATAGGCAGAGTATTTTACACAAACAATTCACCACAGTTATTGCAGTATAGATGCCACCATATGTTGTTCTCCCATGGCCAATACAAACAGGAGGGTTGGGAACACAAGGTCTTCAATGCAGCTACCATCAGTCATCACCAAGTCGCAGCAAATCACAAAATGTAGATGGTAACTCAGTGATTCTCCCTTGAAAGCCACCAGCAATGGAATGGGCAGTTTGTGATGCTGAAATACGAGCACTGAGAAAAAGCAATGGGAAAAGCTAAGGCCCCAGAATACAAAGGCATTTAATGAAAAGAAGGCATTTTAATCTACAATGAGTGCTCTTTTCTCTTAGGCTTAGTATTTTTGTTCCTGTTTGGTTCATAATTGCTACAGAGGAATGAACACATACATAGTCAGATGTTCTTACAATTAGTACATATATAATTGTGCTTGCACTTAGGGAACGAAGATGTTAGCTTTTTTGAATACTAACAAGACTACTCAACATTACCTAACCATAATTTAATATTAGGCTTCTTTTATAAAACAGAGCTGTTAACATAATTTTCCTACTATTATCAAGAGCTGATAATTTTTTTTTCATTAAGATTGCAATCAGACCCTTTATGAATCCTACCACAAAATTCCATTTTCCTCTGGCTGGAAAAATTTTTTCAGAATGAAAAGTAACTAGTTTTATTTCAAAGATTGAGGAGAATTTCCCTGAGATTTTTTACTTTTAATGTCAATATTTAATGAGTTATTAAACTAAAAGTTTATACATCATTCATTTCTTTATGTTTTTCTATGTAAAATTAGCCTTTTAGTCTCATTCAAATATTCTATGCAGCCAAACATTCTTTAGGATACAGAAAATAACTATGTTTGTAAAAAACATTGAGTACACATGTTTTTAATGGTTGCATTTATTTCACTGTTCCAAGATGTGCAAAAACATACTCATTTTTGATGATAGCTTTCAGTTCTTAGAAAGAACATAAGGAACCTTCTATATTTTGGCATTTGAAACTTTCTTGGATTAAATGGCAAAAAAATATTTTTTGGCTAAAAAATCCCAAACCTTGGATCTCAACTTTGCAGTTGTGTATGACTTGATATTCTACTCAGTTTAACAATTAGTGCAGAATGCAGAAAATGCTGGGTTTGCATTTCAGGCCACTAAAAACATGCTGAATATTGAGCTACTGAAACTGTTAACACAAGGAAATGATAGAGTTGAACAATATTCCTTATATGCAAGTCTAAATCATTTCAGAACAGTCTTCACTCTGCCTGTCCCCCAAGAGTCCCACAAAATATTGATCCAAAACAAAATTACAGTTGTCTTTGGGTATTGGATTTTCAAGCAAATATGCACTTATCTGAAAAGATCACGACTTAAAATAGACAGTTTTAGCATACAATTCAGAGAAATGTTTTAGCCACAGTCTCAGTGTAAGGGGAAAAGAGATTCTTGAAGGCATAATGAATTCTTTTTTCCTTACTATCTCTTAAATCACATGCCCTTTAAAAAAACTACTGCCTTTTCTCTTGAGTTGTCTGATCCACATCATGTTATAGCAATGCTTTAGGGCATTTCCTACTCGATAAAACTAACTGTTCACTTCTAAAAATCCCATTTCAGCATGACAGAATGAAGGGACTCCAAATCCATTATTTTAAGTCACTGACGTTATTTTTCTCCCACACATTGCCCAGTTGAAACTCTGAACACTAGCAATATTGACAGGCCAAATGTCATGGAAGCTGCTAGAGTTCTGAGGTTTGTTTTACCTTCAGCTAACAAATTACTCCCATGGAGAATTAAAGCAAGAAGAAAGAGGATATAACTCAGGCACAGCTTTGTTAGGGCACAGTACGTATGTCAGCAAAGCGTGCCAGGAAAGGAAGTTAAACACAACGGATGTTAATGCCTCCATGTACCCTGAAGTCCCTCTTGCACTTATGCTTCTGTTACAACAGATTTACCTGAAACATGAAGAATGCGCCAAGTTTTATAAATCACAAAACAAACAGGACTGTGACTCTGCTACTCTAGGAGGACAAGTATGAAGATCAGTCTGAACGAGGAAACTACACCATGGAACCGTTTTGAAAGTCCAAGTCAGAGAAGACAGTAGACTGTGGCTACCACTCCTGGGTGCTACTAGATAGCGCCAGCCCAGGGCTTTCTTAAAGCTACAAGGCAAACTGTGATGTCAAGCCTTTCCTCTTGTCATGCTGGTATAACTTAGTTTCAGGAACACCTCTGGAATTTCTGATCATTCTTCACTGTAGGGGCAACAGGCCAGAGCACTAAACACTGGCCATGGCAGAACACAGTTTTGTGCAAGCCAGGCCTTAGAAACT